TTGTGGGTGGCGTTTGTTGTGGGTGAAGGGTGTGTTGTGGGTGGCGTTTGTTGTGGGTGGCGTGTGTTGTGGGTGGCGTGTGTTGTGGGTGGCGTGTGTTGTGGGTGGCGTTTGTTGTGGGTGAAGTGTGTTGTGGGTGGCGTTTGTTGTGGGTGGCGTGTGTTGTGGTTGGCGTGTGTTGTGGGTGGCGTGTGTTATGGGTGGCGTGTGTCATGGGCGGCATATGTTGTGGGTGGCGCGTGTCATGGGTGGCACGTGTTAGTCACCGTGATTAACAGGCGTATTAACACTTCCGTTGAGCTCCCTAAGCGGCCCCTCCGGCAGTAAGTGTCACAGGCGTGGACAGGCGTGCGAGCGAAGGCGCGTGCGGAAGGGCGTGGGAGACGTGTGAGGTATGAGGTGTGAGGTATGGGGTGTGAGGTATGAGGAAGGTGTGTGAGGGAGGTGTGTTAGGTAGGGTTTGTGAGGTGTGTGGAGGTTGGCGTGTGAGGACGGTGTAGGTGTTGTGCCAGAGATGGGGTGGTAAAGTTGTGTGTCAAGAAGGGTGTGTGAAGGAGAGTGTGTATGAGTTTGTGTGAGTTAAAGTGTGTGTGTGTGAGAGAGGGTGTGTGAGGGAGGGTGTGGAGGGAGGGCGTTGAGACACAGGGGGAGTGAGGAACGCTTAATGAGGAACATGAGAGTAAGCAGGTGTGTGTGTGTGTGTGTGTGTGTGTGTGTGTGTGTGTGTGTGACATATATGTTAAATTGATCAGGTGTGTGGGAGAGAAGGTCAAACAGTACACCATATAACAGTATAATTAATATAAAATTATCAATAAATATACCTCCTTATTCTGTATATACACCCATTCGTGTTGTGTGTGTGTGTGTGTGTGTGTGTGTGTGTGTGTGTGTGTGTGTTTTACCATTCGTGTTCTGCCTCTGTCGCGTCTCCACTAATTCCTGTGTACACCCCCAGGTGAGGGGATACACGAATCACTACCACTATAATGTACCATGAGAATACATTGTTTATAAACACCTATGGTGCTTCGTCGGCCCATTAAGAAAAAATGTTTTCACTAATCAGGATCTTGGAAAACAAATTGGGTTTACAATTATATATATTGTTTCCCCTAAACTTAGTAACATAAATTATAGTAAATGTTTTTATTTTCTTTATTCAATGACATTAATTTTGTTGCACGATTTTAAAGGCTCTACAGCACTACAGGGTTACATTATCCTCACTGACATTTGTGTAACATTAGACTAGGAGACAACCTTTTTTAAATGCCTGTAATATGAAGCTAAACCAATGTTGAGCTGTACACAAGTAAGACAGAGAACACAACTCTTAATAATCTATATGTTTGGATGAATTAGTTACTCTAAGTTAGATTTAATGGTCTAATGGGGTTAATTTGGTTATACTCGTATATAGGTTTACCGAGATGTTACAGTATATAAATCTTCTTGTAACATGATTTTTTAAACATACATGCATTAAGACAGTGATATATATATATATATATATATATATATATATATATATCACTTTTGCTAATAGTAATGGCCTATAGGACTATATGTATTTAATGTCAATATATATGTGCAGTATCTCTCGTCATGTATCGCTATGTCTCCATGTACATAAATTTGATACACAACTTGGGTAAGTCAACAGCGAGGACGATATCAACCTACAAGTCTCTCTTCAATACAATATACACATTGGTCTCTGGGACTTACTTCAGTCATACAAGATTTATAGTATTAGATTCTAGAGAGAAAACGGCCCTAGTAAAAATGGCCCCAACTAGAGCGGCCGCTAACTTAACCTAACCTAACTTAAACTCGTTTGATTTAGATAGAAAATGGTTCAAGTTGGCTTACTGGGCTGTTTTGGTCACAGAGTAATGGCCGTTGGGTTAGTGGGGCCATTTTCAATTACGATTGTTATCTAGTCACCACATATAACATTATAACATAGAGAATTTTATTAACAGAAAATCGTAATAACATATAGACAGAGATAACAAAATTAGGGAAAGTAAAACAAAGGAATAAAACCATTGTATAAATGCCATGAATAGTTTGTCTTCATCCAGTACAACTTCTCCCCTCAGTCAGCCAAAAGTTTAACTGTTATCCTTCTTCCAAGTCAGCTGAAACACCTCTCATATAACCTAAGTCAGCTGAGCACCTAACACACACTGACTACTATATGACATAATGGGTCAGGTCTTGTTTACAATTACCACACAGATTGGAGGCGATTTTCACACACTATGTACAGTACCATCCAGTTAATAAGACTTTATGTTCTTTGAAACTCTTCTGTGTGTGTGTGTGTGTGTGTGTGTGTGTGTGTGTAAGCGCGCGCATTTACCTTTGTTTCTATTCTGATTACGTGTGTTAGTATGTATACATTGGTGACTGTGTATGTATTCTTTTTACCATGTGTGTGAGTGCGTTCATGCGTGCCTGTGTGCATTAATGTGTGTTTGCGTAGTATGTGAACATTAGTTACTCTTGAGCACATGTTTGTAAATGTTTGTGCACTCTAATTTGTGAATATAAATCAATGTTGTGTTGTCATATAATAATAATAATAATAATAATAATAATAATAATAATAATAATAATAATAATAATAATAATAATAATAATAATAATAATAATAATAATAATAATAATAATAATAATAATAATAATAATAATAATAATAATAATAATAATAATAAAGCTTTGTGCTGGCTGTATTAAGGTTAGGAAGAAAATATCAAGACCAAAGACCAACTGTAAATCAGAATCAACAAGGCCCCTTAAAAATGCACAAAATCTGAACTACTATCCGGAAGCTACTTTTTACATGTTAATTATCCTTTTCCCATGACCGGCCATCAGTCTCCATGTGTTCCACCAAACGTAAATCGAACACGAAAAAAAACCGTATTTCAGATAAATTTGTATCACAATCCGGAAACTGTCATTTTTTTGTCAACATATCCATCTATAATTTTTCCATCAGTGACCATCAATCTGCGTGTGTTCCGGCGTGACCCAAGGACCTTCCGCACCCACACTCACACCACCACACACAACACCCAGAGTCTATCACACACAACACACCCGCTAATCCCCACTACACTCCGCTCACTCTATCTAATCCGGGATTTAGGGGAACCCAGATTAGAAAGTTACTTAACCTACACTCAGTTTAATAATTCCCGGCTTAACCACTCGGAGTATTTCCTCATATCAGCGGAGCCGTTCACCCCCTCCTGACCACACACCGGATGTCCCGTGGGAATAAAAATTACCTCCCATTAACTCCAGTTTCCAGTATAACACGCCATTTAGCACCATCACCGACACCTTTACTAATATTTTATTGCTTTCTAACTATTGAACTATTACATGTAAATAAGATTTGTAGTTTTATTGACTGTTAACCTGAGTTTTATAGGATTTTGATGGATGTCGGGTAATTCGCGGGTTGTTCTGCAGCAGCGCCCACACCTGCTGGGGACCTCGTATCCGTTGCTGCTCTGATTTGTTCCGTGTTGGCTGTTGTTCAGTGAGTGGTAGCGAACAGCCACGCTCACTAGTTTACTGTGATTTATCGCCAACATTGATCACTCACTGATTACTTCTGTTAGCGATAATTGGCTCTGACTTTTCTTTCATTGAGAACCTGAGGGTTACACTCTCCTGATTATCAAGGTATATTACACTAATCTAAGCTTAGTGAGTTATATTGATTCTGTGTGTGTGTGTGTGTGTGTGTGTGTGTGTGTGTGTGTGTGTCATGCATTATAAAACTAATTGCGATATAACGAGAATTTCAATGAGGTTTTGCTTTTTTCCTCAAAAGTTTTAAGTGATGTGTACAGAGGAGCAGGTACACTGATATAACATAGCCTAGTGATGAATAGCTTTAATAGTAATGTAACCGATGTTTTATTTTATACTTTTTTATTTTCATTCAAAAAAGTACTTCCTGCTATGATACAGGGTGGCGGGGCAGGTGCCGGTCTGCTGGTTCTTGGCATGTGGCAGGATGTTACTCCACCGAGGTTATTCTATCAGTGATAACCGCACCTCATGGTCACTCATTTATATAAAGTATAATTTCTTGTGTTCATACACCTGATTTAACGAGCACCATTGTCTGCTACCAAACCTCGGTTCAAATTTATAACATTCAAATGTGTAGTTGTGGAATCAATATTTTGATGAAAAATTCTTGTAATGATTTGTAGATAAAATTTTTTATGCTGGTTTATAACTTAAAAAATAAATATGTACGGGACATGCATCATGGCCTATAATATTGTTCAGACTTGGTGGATGTGCAAGATGAAGGTTAGTTAGTTCAGTTATAGTGAGACTTGTCTTCTTACCATGACCAGGCTGAGCTCACCTGGGTGACCAGTAAGGACAATAACACAAGCATACAACATCAACAGTGGAGTATATTTTACAACATACAAGGAGAATAATAATCGTTAAAAAGAGATATGTATCATAGACAAAGATGTCTCACTGCCCCTCGTCCTCCTAGAGAGCCACGTTCACTCGTCACCGTGCTGAGTCATGATCTCCCTGAAGCATTGTGAAGGTACACAGTCACGGTTTCTTCAGGGGGCTCTTGCCTTCACCTGAGAATCTGTGGTCCATGGAAGAGGCTGCAGTTCCCTTACCACGTATTCCCCAGTGGTAATATATTATGTGATCAGGGGTGAGTTTTGGGGTTTTATATAGGTAGAGGGGTGATCTCGGCTAGGGTCGGAGGAGGAAGGGGGTTGGTAAATGAGTGGATGAGGAAGGGGTGATGACGGGAAGAGGAGGGGGAGGAGGAGGGGGGCTAACATTCTCTCCTGATAGAGCTCCCATACACTTCCCTGGGGAACGTGGCTCACCTTATGGACCAAATATTTGGTTCAGCAACATGATACACTCGTCCACCTCAACCACAAAACAGTCTTACGACACCGTCATATTTCATCTTATATATGTACACCATTTTCTCTCTATACGTCGGGAAAAAAATCAAGATGTGAAAATACTGAATTTATTTAGACAAAACAATAGTCACTTAATATACAGGGTTAAATAGGTAGGTTGTTTATTCATATATAATGTTCTTTCATTATCAGTATTATTATCATTATACTATACATATATTTTTTCTTAGTTTTGTAGTCTTGCCTATAACACTACTTTTTCTATAAACTTATATTACTCGCTAGTGAGGTGAGGGCAGCTACGGCTGTGTGTGGTGAGAACTTTACTGTGACTACCTCTTGGTCCTCCTGCCGTCAGCACCCGCCCGCTACGTCCACTGTAAGATGCCTTAAAGAGTTTATGAGTATCACTCCAGTGGACGACCAGAAACACACTATCTTTTTTTTTCTCACTCACCAAATTCACCTCAGAGGAATGACATTCCCGACACTTAATGGGAGGCAGAGGCTTGAAAACACTGGCTAAACCAACGCTCGTATCAAGGTTTACAACTCAGCCTCGAGACACGTTGCTTTCTTCTTCCTTTCGGAAGCTTTTCTGTTTCAGGTTAGACTGTTTTTTCTCTCACATCATAATAGCGTCATATTTAGAAGCGAGATTGTCTTCTGGTTTCTGACTAGTAGGTTCGTTGTGGTCACTGTCTTCACTCCAGATACTGCAGGAGGCGGTGAAGGTGGTTACTGCTTGGTGGGTGCTAGAGGAGGGTGTGGGAGGGAGGAAGGGAGGGAGGGAGCAGCGCTGAGGGAGTGTATGTTGAGGATACATCAGGTGTAGGAGGCGAATCAGGGGCGAGGTGGGGAGGGCGGCTGCGGGTTAGGCCTCGTCATCCCTCCTGAAGCGCCTCCGCTGGTGGAAACTGTTGGCGTGGGCGAGGACGCTGCACTGTGGGCGTGTGGGGGTAACAGTGAAGAAGTGAGAGAGGAGAGTGATGAGGAGAGAGAGGAGAGGGAAGCGGGTGAGAGGGCTGAGAGCTGAGGCAGGTGAGGCAGGGAAGAAAGGGCGGCGGCGGTGCTCCCTGTGTGAGGCGGCGGGCAGAGGTACGGGTAGTAGCAATAGGGCGGGATCCCTAGCGACCCCAGTGAGCTGAGTGTGCTGAGGGAGGCGAGGGAGGGCAGCAGGAGGGGCGGCCGGGGTAGACCCTCGTCCGGTCCGTGAATCAGCTGGTCGTCTCGCATCAGGACCTGCAACAGGAAGAAGACATGGTCAGTGGTGGCGGTGGTGGTGGTAGTGGTGAGGGTGGTGAGAGGTGGTCAGTGATGGTGGTGGTAGTGAGGGGTGGTCAGTGGTGATGATGGTGAGGGAGTAGTGGTGGTGGTGGTGGTGAGGTGGTGGTGGTGGTGGTGGTGAGGTGGTGGTGAGGAATGGTGGTGGTGGTAGTGGTGGTGGTCAGTAATGGTGGTGGTGGTGGTGATATGGTGGTGGTGGTGGTGGTGGTGGAGTGGTGGTGGTGGGTGGTGGTGGTGGTGGTGGTGGTGGTGGTGGTGGTGGTGGTGGTGGTGGTGGTGGTCAATTGGTGTGGTGGTGAGGGTCAGTGGTGATGATGAGAGATGGTGGTGATGTTGGTGGTGGTAGTGGTGGTGGTGGTGGACGGGTTAAGGGGAGGTCGGACGGGTACTGTGGGTGGGATGAAAATGTATTGAGCAGCGAGGCGTATTATGGAGTGGCGAGGGCATTATGGAGTGATGACGGATATTATGGAGTAGTGAGGGACATTATGGAGTGATGACGGATATTATGGAGTAGTGAGTGACATTATGGATTGATGACGGATAATATGGAGTAGTGAGGGACATTATGGAGTGATGACGGATATTATGGAGTAGTGAGGGACATTATGGAGTGATGACGGATATTATGGAGTAGCGAGGGACATTATGGAGTGATGACAGATAATATGGAGTAGTGAGAGGCATGATGGAGTGATGACGGATATTATGGAGTAGTGAGGGACATTATGGAGTGATGACGGATAATATGGAGTAGTGAGGGGCATTATGGAGTGATGACGGATATTATGGAGTAGTGAGAGGCATTATGGAGTGATGACGGATATTATGGAGTGGCGAGAGGCATTATGGACTACCTCGCGATTGAAATGCTAAGACTCACGGTGCAAATAACCCAACTCGTAACTCGCGGTGAAGGACTACAGGGTATCTAAAAATATGTATACTGAACACACTGCCTTTCAGATTTTAAAGTGAATTCTTGTATTACACCAGCAACATTGTCTTCTTTTACTGGAGACCTCACGCATCAACAAGTGAAGATAATGTTGCTGTTGTAAGAAAAACGGTCACGCGATCCCCACGAAAATTTGGAAGGTATGGTCAGTCACGGTATGGACAGGGTAACCCGTGGTCTAAGCTTTGACACTAGACCACGAGGCTATCGCTCCTAGACCCCGAGAGAGCTACATTACTAATCATGGTAAACAAAAGAGAAACAAATATAAAATAGCATAAAATCCTCCCTGATTTTTGCTCAGGGAGGAAATTAATAAATAAGGCGACTTTTACTTGGCTATAAATCAAGATGTCTACCGAGACCATAACATTTGTGAAGAAGACTAAACACAGTGTTCTATACTTTTGCATTCTATAGTCATTTTGCAGATAATGCTCAGTATTTTCTTTTCATTTTGCCATCTGTAATACCTAACCTAACCTAACCTAAACTGATGGAAAAACAAATATACTTTCAAGAATATTTACGACTTATTGTACTGTACATTTTTATTTTTTGTTTTCATATTAATTAATGGTTACAGTAAAGAATTTTTTTTGGCCGGAAGTGTTTTTAATTTGTATTTTATGAAGTCGTTGATTTATTCTTATTTATATTTTTTCTCAGTATTATCTTCTTCCTTGTTATTATTGTGATGACACAATTTAGTTCAATGATGGAGACGTTCCTGTTCTGTTCTGTACTGTACACTCAGAGAGCGTGAGTGAACTATACACGAACCCTTACAGCTAAGCGGATGAAAGAATGTGTTTACAACGGTGCACCAACACGCACGCATGTCACCACACAGCACCATACAGGTTCACGAAGGTTCACCACACATAAACACAAAAAATCAATAAATAAAAGAAAAAATGGTGCACTTTCTTCTTGAAAAGTAAATACTGTTATTGCATATATGAGAGAGCGGACGACGCCTTGATACACCGCGTTCTTATCCTTGTCACTACACCGTGTTGCTCATGAGGAACCAGCCATACTCGTACTTCCCTCTTTGAACCCCAACACGTGAATCAATAAAGTTAGCATTACTCTAAGAATCTTTAAACACTGTAGACATAAAAGGAAGAATTCGAGCGTAAGTTATCTTATAGAGAGGTAAAATTAATAGCCTGCAGGGGTGTCACCATAGTCCCGGTTACGCTGCAATGTATAAAAACTTCTCTAACTTAATTTACAACACACACATGGTGGCCCAAATGGCTTAGAAACAGTACTAAGACTCTACCTTGTCCAGATACGTTCTTTCATCTCTTGTAAAGGGAAAAAATAATATGCGATTTTTTAAGAGTCCAGATGTCTGTGGCCTGAGCCAGAAGGGGATCGACCAGGTGTCCTCAACCATGGCAAGGACGGATTCGATCTCTCTGCCATCCCAGGTGGTGGAGGTAGACTGTTGGTGACGGAAGACAGGTAGAGGAGGTAGATAAATGAATGGTGGACGTATGCAGGTGTATGGTGGAGGTAGACGGGTGGATGGTGAAGATAAACAGGGGTGAAGATAGACAGGCGAATGGTGAAGGCAGACTAGACAGATGGTTGGTGTAGATAGACAGGTGGATGGTGGAGGTAGACAGCTGGTAGAGGTAGACAGCTAGGCGGTAAAGGTAGACAGCCGGGTGGTGAATGTAGACAGATGAATGAGAGGAGTGTGTGGACAGTAAAAGTAGATGGAGGTCGACGTCAGAGATTGATAGATGATACAGGTGGATGGTAGAGGTAGACAGCTAGGTGCTGGACGTAGACAGATAGATGAGAGGGATATGTGGACAGTAGATGTAGATGATAGGTCGATGTCAGAGATAGACAGATTGGTACAGGTGGATAAAGTAGACAAGGGTTTGCGACGACTCACCTTAACAGCGACGCGTCTGCCGGAGGAAGGTGGTTCACAGGCCACCAGCTGTTTCCTCTTGGTCTTGTAGCGACGATTTTGGAACCAGATCTTCACCTGTCAGGAGGAAAAGGTAGAGGTTAATGCTGGTTCACTACCGGTTTAATACCAGTTCACTACAGATCCACTGTTAATTCACTACTGGTTCACCATACCAGTTCACTATTAGTCTACTGTTCTACTGCTGGCTCACTACTGGTTCAACTACCGGTTCACTACCAGTACACTGCTGGTTCATTACCGGTTCACTACTAGTTTACTAATGGTCCACTGTTGGTTCACTACCGGTTCATTACAGCTATACTACTGGTTCACTACTGGTTCAGGACTGGTTCACTACCGGTTCATTACAGTTATACTACTAGTCCACTACTGGCTCAGGACTGGTTCACTACCCGTTCATTACAGCTATACTACTGGTCTACTACTGGTTCAGGACTGGTTCACTACCGGTTCATTACTAGTTTTCTACTGGTAAGAGTAAATTATATTCCCTTGAGATAATTCTCCCCTAAAGTTTAAAGACTGAATTTACCAAGAGTTAACATAATTTTCTGAACATATAAGGAATAAGTTATTCCTTAATACTATAAAAACTGGAATTATCTGTTCATAGTTATACAAAATTTACATCAAGCTTAGTTCACCGAAAGAAAATTACCCATATAATTTTTTTTCGCATCTAAATACTATGATTATAATTGTAAACAATATTAATTGATTCTAAACGATAAAGGAGGGAAAGATAAGCAACGAAAGTTAATGAGAAATATAAATGAATAAATCGTAAATATAAAAAGAAAGAATAAATATTAAAGTTCAGTAGAATATATTAGAGAGAAACGGCCATCAAGAAGAGTCGTGGGAAAATAAATACTCTTTGATTTACTTTACGTGAATAAACAGTAAATATGTCACCCTTCTTATCAAATAATAATAGTAATAATGATAATAATAGTAATAATAATAATAATAATAATAATAATAATAATAATAATACCTGTAAAAACATTATTAATCACTTAAAAACACAACCAAGCAAACAAAAGACTAAATCGTGTCCGGTAAATTAATTAACACCGGGTTGTACTGGAGATAAATCTCCGTGAATTATAGATCTGTGTAATCACGTGTTCCGCTCTGCTAACTTAACGTTTTTGGCGAAAAGATGTAACCGGGGGGAGAGGGGGGGGGGGTGAGGAAATGGGGGGTGGAGGAGAGGTAGAGAGAGGGGGTGGAAGAGAAGGTGGGTCACGCCATGATACGTGCTTGTCCCCTTTTCTTGTGGTTTTGTTTTTGTTTCCACTCACACACGCAAAGGAAGGAAGTTAGTGCTCTTTGTGGTCTTTATTCACTTTTGTTCTTATCCCCCCCTCGCTGTGTGGCCCTCACTTGCCTCCTCTCAGATACAGTAGGAGCCGCATGGTTCTCTAACGTGTTCGTCTCCTCACCAAGATTATGTGGCGACTAAGACCCGTGGTGTGTCCCCTGCGTTACACACACACAGTCCTTTTCATCCTAGGATCAACACAAATAGAGCAAGTGAAAAAAAATCACACACACGCACACACACACACACACACACACACACACACATGAGAGAGAGAGAGACAAACACCATAGTATCTTCCTACAAGAATAAAGCAGATCAAATTACAGAGTTCACACAAATAACATGTAATCGGATAATGTTGAGAATACTGATGGTGAAAGTCTGGATACAAAGAAACTGGGGAATCGTGAATCTATCTCAAAGGTCAGGCGATGGTTGATGGCGGACAACTATCTGAAATATGTAGGTTCTGCAGCAGCCAGCGAGATCATTTTACATAGATATAAGTGTCACCTGAAGGTGTTAGTAACATGCAAACTAAGAAAGCAAAATAAGAAACGAAATAAATGCATCACATATCTTAAGAATTTGTAATACAGAATTTTCTAAAGGTAAGCAATTTTTTATATGTTAATTGCAATATTTGTTTTCAGTGTCTTAGACTTTGGTACAGAGACAGTTCTATCTCTCATAGTTGTTTAATATTGTTAGACTAGTGTATCACTAACCTTGTTACGTGCTTAATGACCTTCGTTATTCAAGCTCAGTAATAACAGTATAACAACAACGACTTTGGTAAATACAAAATAACGCCAACTTTAAATGGTGTTGGTATTTCTTAACATTAAATAGTGTCGTGTATTTTACAATCATGAATAGAGAACTAAATTAATTTTATATAACTAATTAGCAAACATGTTATAGTGCCAACTAATTATAAATTAAATATAACTGATTTGAATATTAAAGACGTCTCAACTAACATTTAAAAACTTTATTACCGAGAATATTCTGCTAAACTCACCCAGGGTAAAACTACTCTTGTATGAACTGAATGGAATAAAAAAAAATACACGGATTCAACTGCTCATAAATGTTACTTACTGTATATAAATAATCCACCTTTAGAAATAAGAGCTTACTTGACTACCGCTGTGTCAAATGTAATAATAATTTCATCAACATCAATACAGGAAAACAACAGAAACTTTTAATGACGATTCAAACTTGTTATATTATTCTGCAAATTTGAATGATATATTTAAGAGCTTCCATAACTCTACAGTTTCGCCTTCATTATATTAAGCAGCTACAGTGTATAAAAATGCACACACACACACACACAAAATCTAAAATATGCTCACCTGCTGTTCTGTCAGCTTGAGTGCCTGGGCCAGATCCGCTCTCTCGGGACCAGACAGGTAGCGCTGGTGAGCGAAGCGACGCTCCAGCTCGAACACCTGGGCGTGGCTGAAGGCTGCCCGACACCGTTTCTTCCGCGGGGCGCGCTCACCCTCTCCGGCGTCTCCTGGGGGAAGGACAAGGAACAGATGATATTTAGTTTGTAAGTTATTAGTGTTGTGGTTGAATAGTTGTGTGATAAATTCGATTGAATGAACTCTCAAAGTTGGTGAAGAAATGGTATGGAGAAATTAAAGGTTGTAGGAAAAATCTTCACAACGTTCCTAAAAATACAAATTGTTTTCTTGCAAGAGAGGGATATATTTACTGTTGTAACTACATATAAATCAGTGCGTATATTGTAAAATATTGCCATTCCGTATAAAACGTTGCTGCTATTTTAACATAATCAAAGTTTAACTAAATTAGCTTAGGTAAAGTCAGATTAAGGTAAGTTAATTAGGCCATTAATGACGCTTTTCACTAATACTTATCAGTTGGAGTAAAAAAAAAAAAGTTACGAATATCGAAATTCTCACTGTGGCTCAATTATACCGAAGCAGCGTTAGTTACCTCAAGGAGCATCGAGTAATTACTAAAAGTGTACTGAAAATAATACCTGACAGAGGCACAGCATTTGTACAGTACAGTAACAGGCAAATAGATCAGTAAAGTGCAGCTATGTCGGTCAGTGTTCACAAGGCGGAGAGTCAATAGGTTAATTAAAGCAGCCATTGTGAAGCTCGCCGGTAACACTACAGAGAACATGACTTGAAGCAATGACACAAAACGTTCAGCGAAGGTAGCGAGCACAAGAGTCAGAGAGTACTCAACACTACAATGTTCTTGTGTTCCTAAGATCAATAGAGCCGACATTAGTAGTTATATGGACCATTAAGCTTTATACCAGATAATTGAAGATATTAAAGAGTGTTGAAATGGTCGTTAATCTGCATCAGAGGTGGACCGTCATTATGGCAGGTCATTACCGGGTGTTTGGAGGGTGACTGGTGCTGTGTGTGTGTGTGTGTGTGTGTGTGTGTGTGTGACGGCAGACAGAAAATGATCCTGTTAAGCTTTAAGTGATTATAAAGGTAACGGGGAAACGTGTGATTATCGGCCTTTTACTCCACGTGTTCATGAAAATTGTATATATGTATGTATGTTTGTTCTCTGTGTAAAAAATTTCAAACTAATGTTATTTATATTGGAGTTATCTTATCGGGGCTGACTAGTACCTGACTCACCGCTGTTTGTGGTGTTTGTTTATTGTTTATATTTTGTCTCTGAGAGTTAGCCAAATAATATACTAAAAATGGCGTCCCCGTAGTGAAGGGGTTAGTGGAGATACTTTACTAATGAACACTTATATGCTAACAACTTATCAGTAATTATTGCAATGATTAGGTGAGTGAAGCATATCAAGTGAGACTGTTAGTTCTTAATGATAATTGCCCTTGTTACGAATACCTGACATTATGCAAATTACCTCTAATTAAAGGCGTAAATGAGTCACATACTAAGCAGCATTAGTGAATAAAATACGTGATTACTTAATGTATTCAATACTAACACTCACACAACATTAATAACCACAATACCGTATATTAAAATATTGCTACAGGAATGATCAAGATACCACGTGCTGCTCCCTCCGTAATGATGACCTCCTTATGTGGGGTTATTGAGCCACTTTCATAACTACTAAACGAGGTAGTTAGTATCCGGATCCCTATAGTTAGTACAGATCGTTGAAGTGAACACCCACGAACCCCCTAGTTAGTACAGGTTGTTAACGCAGCAGAAGTTGTGACCGCCCTCAAGTACCTTCATGTCACACTCGGGGATCAATACCATATAATGATTATGATTACCCTATATACCTGCGGTGGTGATGACGGTAATATAACGGTACTTGACGACGATGATGAAACGACAGCGATTATGACACACAAGAGCGAGTAATACAACCTATCATGGTTACCTAGGGACGATGATACTGATTTATATAATTAATGATAGTATGAGAGAGGGAGGACTTAAGGGACTTGATTATAGTGAGAGGGAGGACTTAAGGTACTTGATTATAGTGAGAGGGAGAACTTAAGGTACTTGATTATAGTGAGAGGGAGGACTTAAGGTACTTGATTATAGTGAGAGGGAGGACTTAAGGTACTTGATTATAGTGAGAGGGAGGACTTAAGGCACTTGAGTATAGTGAGAGGGAGGACTTAAGGTACTTGATTATAGTGAGAGGGAGAACTTAAGGTACTTGATTATAGTGAGAGGGAGGACTTAAGGTACTTGATTATAGTGAGAGGGAGGACTTAAGGTACTTGATTATAGTGAGAGGGAGGACTTAAGGTACTTGATTATAGTGAGAGGGAGGACTTAAGGTACTTGATTATAGTGAGAGGGAGGACTTAAGGTATTGATTATAGTGAGAGGGAGGACTTAAGGTACTTGATTATAGTGAGAGGGAGGACTTAAGGTACTTGATTATAGTGAGAGGGAGGACTTAAGGTATTGATTATAGTGAGAGGGAGGACTTAAACTTTGATTATAGTGAGAGGGAGGACTTAAGGTATTTGATTATAGTGAGAGGGAGGACTTTAGGTACTTGATTATAGTGAGAGGGAGGACTTAAGGTATTTGATTATAGTGAGAGGGAGGACTTTAGGTACTTGATTATAGTGAGAGGGACGACTTAAGGTGCTTGATTATAGTGAGAGGGAGGACTTAGGGCACTTCATTATAGTGAGAGGGACGACTTAAGGTGCTTGATTATAGTGAGAGGGAGGACTTTAGGTACTTGATTATAGTGAGAGGGACGACTTAAGGTGCTTGATTATAGTGAGAGGGAGGACTTAATGTGCTTGATTATAGTGAGAGGGAGGACTTAAGGCATTTGATTATAGTGAGAGGGAGGACTTAAGGTACTTTATTATAGTGAGAGGGAGAACTTAAGGCACTTGATTATAGTACTGTACATGGGGGTAAAAATGAGTCAATTATATTTCTTACATAAAAGCCACGACTCAGCACTAAACTATAACACATAAGTGGACTGTCATGTCAAAGGGTAATTATGACATGTCATCCGAATCACTCTATGACAGAAATATGACCCGTGAATATGACACATGGAGAAACTGAAATGACAGCACTTACCAAAAATACACGGGCGATGGTAGAACGAGGTTAATATTAGTACACGGTAATACAAGGAGTATCGATATTAATTATGACACATGTGAGCTATGATATTACAGCGTCGATTATAGCACATAGAAGCTATGGTGTCATATTGAAACGAGACAATTATAGCGTTATCATTGACTTATCATTACTGTGATAATATTAATAATAATAATAATAATAATAATGATAATAATAATAATAATAATAATAATAATAATAATAATAATAAAGAATTATAAGTAAAATTTACACATACTGCACGTAGCATAATTTTTCAGAGCAAACCTTATTTTTGAGTGTATGCCGCGGCATTGCACAACCCGGATAACATGCTGCTGGAAAAGAAATTAAGCTCACACTTACACGCAATAAACCATGTAATTGAACAACTCTGTCGCGTTTGAAGAGTTCCTATTTGTAGTAATAGAGTTATTAAGTTGGAATAGGGTATAGTGACACAAAAGAGATTGTAAAATAACATAGAAAATGATGGGGATTGAACAGGAAATTGGTTGGAGAGTGACATATAAAACACAACATTCTGTCTACTGGGCAAGAATGAGACCATATTGCCAATATATCTCTATCAACGGACTGACAAGTTAACAGCGACTTTGGTCAGTATTGGAAGCGACGGAATAAGTACCTATCATATATCATACATCAATCACACACACACGCACACACACACACACACACACACACACACACACACACATTACACCTTCAAGGTCTGAGTACTGCATAATTTATTTAATTCGTAACTTCACTGTAGGTCAATGCCACGTGTGTACTCTTAACAATCTGGGTAATAAGGAAAAAGTTTACTTGAGGGAGTAATTCACCTTACCACAACACTGGGATACTTGTGCCATATAGAAGTCTTGCTATGGGTGTGTTAATGGACAAGGTAAGAATGTAATTATGGTGACACAGGAATGAGGTAACAAGGTGAGACAATAATTAAGGTAACAAGTTATATCAGTAATAAGGTAACAAGGTAAGAAAATAATAAGGTAACAAAGTAATAAAGGTCCATGACTGCCCCTCACTCTCACCTTTGCCTTCGTTGGAGACACTGTCGTGGCCTGTGGCGTGAGCAGGGTCTTCACGATCACTGTGCTCAGTGTCCACCTCCTCCATGCTCATCTCCGAGCAGGGCGAGGTCGACCTACTCCTCCGACCCAGCAGGTTGAAGCCTTCGGGAGATGATGTGGCCTCCCTGCCGTCCGCCGTCCGGTGGTTGGAGGCGCTGGTGGGGCCTCCTGACGAAGGTTCCATCGAGGAGCTCACCTCCGGATGAATGGAGTCCTTAGAGAGGTCCATGGGTGAGGGGGAGTTGTACTTGAGCACAGATACCGGCCGGAAGCCCAGGCTGGGGGAGCTCCGCAAGTCGGCCAGACTCCTGTGGTGGTCGGGGGTGGTACGCAAGTCGGAGGGAGATCGGTTCTCCATGCGGGTGAGAATGTCGGTGATGGAGAAGGGAGTGACGGAGGCCGTAGTTTGTGTCTGACTATCGGGAGAACCGGGTTTTTCCATCTTGATCAGAGTCTCCATAACAGTAAGATAGTCCTCTCACTTATCTGTCGCAACGATCGTCAGATAACATAAACTCGGGATAAACTACCAAGTACATGTATTTCCCGCAAGCACAATCCTCCTTCCTTCAAACCATCGCAATGTCGGTAATAAAAACGAATGATGAATGGCCGAGAAAGTTCGCCAAACTTTTGTTACCAGAAGTCCACCACTCACAAGGCGACCACCACAAAGTTCCCAGTCAGTGTCGCGGGTGTCGAGAAGCACGTGTGGCAGCGCTCTCCACAAAGCCCTCAATTCCCCTGCGTGTTTCCCCTCAGCCCTCGCGAGAGAGTGTGAGAGGCGGTGGGCGTCGCTTCAGCAAGGGAGGGGAGCGAGGATAGTGGCTGGACTCTGCGGTCGAGACTATTTGTACTCTAATTGGTTCTGTCACTTGCTTCCCTCTATCTCTTCCCCAGATGCTACAGCTCCATTAGTCCCACGCGACCAACTTCAAAACTCATCAAGGCTTACCGAGCACCAGGTCAGTTACCAAGACGCGAATTTAAGTTCTATATTATTCCTTTATCTACCACTGATACACCAAAGAAATATATATTTTTTAGAGGCAAAGATACATCTTGTATTTAATATTAATTTGATTTTTTATTATTAGTGAGGCGTATATTGAGATAAATCAATGGTATTTATTCCACAGAGTCTAGCACGGATAATAAGTTACAAGGGGCGGGCTTTGTGAGGACCAATCGGGTGGCGAGTCTTGATATGAGGGGAGAGGCTGGGCGGGGCCTATACTATGGCGAGGGGAGTTGCCAGTTTAGGCATAACCACGGATCAAAATTTGTTTGTGTCTGAAACCACTTAAGTACTTTGTTACGACTTGAGATTAATATTATAACCATAGCATTTTATATCAGTATATTGTAACTGTAAGAGGAAAACAAAGTCAATCCTTGAAAAAATAAGCATAAACAGTATAGTATCGACCTGTGAGGGAACTGTCATACAGATAAGCGAGCAGTTAGGGGAGGCGGCAAGAGATCGATTCACACGATATTCAAGTGTTCAGGCAGCGAATATCCTGGCTGGCTGGGAGACGAATATCAGAGCCATTATATTAACACCCCGGAGATTTCTTCTTCATATTGGGGAAGTTAAAAAGATAAAAAGGAGGAAATATCTCATACCAAAGACAAGGTAAATCAAGCGTAAATTTATTAATGGAGGGAAGCGGCGGTGTTGAAGGCTGCCTCCGTAACAGCCTTGTGTTATTATCATTCGATTGTCGCTTTTTCTGCGTTAAATCATTCTTAGCGCTCTATTGCAAATTACATTTCGGAGATTAAATGGTTCGTTCCACATGAAAGGAAGCCATCATTACAGCGCTGGGTCATCGGCCACAACACAGGAAATAAAACTTTATTTTTTATCATTTAAGAAAGTAAAGATTTTGTTTTAGGGTTTTCATATAGAAATTGGGGCTTCGGGGGAGTTGTATGGGGGTGAAGGATGATACTGAAGAACAGACGAACAACAATTATTAAATGGATTATCCTTTGGTCAACTTCCTTTCAGTCCACGTAGATGATTCCCCCTCCCCTCCTCCCCAGGACTCGGTACAGACACATATTCACTATAAAAAACATACACACACACACACACACACACATATATATATATATATATATATATATATATATATATATATATATATATATATATATATATATATATATATATATATATATATATATATATATACTGCGTAAATCAGGTTGAATATGAATGTTTCAGAATCTGGTAAAAGGGGCAAAAATTGATGGTGTCCAATAGGCAGTGGAACCTCGCCGGAACTTCATCGTAGCTTCCCTGTGTAGAATTTCTCCCTGGAACTTCACCATAATTTCCTTGTAGACTTCTCCCTGGAACTTCACCGTAAATTCCCTGTAGATCTTCACCTTGAAACTTCACCTTAACCTTCCTGTTGAACTTCGTCAAATTAAGTTTACGTCCGCCAGGTGTGGGTTTGATATAGAGTCGTAGACAACCAGTGTAGAGAGTCTTTTATCACCAAAGGTCAGTCACACCAGACGAGGCTCATGGACCAAAGGCAGAAGGTATTGTCCCTCTTGGTACATCACAGTTATTCAGGGGTAAGAAGGGGAAAATGATAACCAGAGGGGAGACAGTGAGGTTAAAAGTAAGTGAGGGGAGAGGGAGAGGGGGAGACAATTGGTTGGGGAGAGTGTAGGGAGAGGGAGAGGAGACAATAAGGGGAAAGGGTTGGAGAGTGTGTGGGGAGAGGGATAGACAATGGGTTGGGGAGAGTGTGGGGAGAGAGAGAGGGGGGGAGACAGTGAGGGGGGGAAAGGTTAGCGGGAGTGTGCTTGGGGAGAGTGAAAGGGGATAGGGAGTGAAGGGAAAAGCGAGAAAGAGAGACAATGAGGGGAGAGGGAGAAGGAGAGAGACAAGAGGGACAGTGAGGGGAGAGTGGATTAAACATTGATCCTTAAACCTTGATCGTTAAAACATCGACGGTGAACATTGATCTTGTGGCCACAGCGGCAGTGATCACACGGCGAATTACCTGATTACTTGACAACCAACCTGAGGGGGAGAGGTGAGGGACACGAGAGTGAGGGGAGAGGTGAGACACACTAAGTAAAGGGGAGAGGAGAGAAGAGGAGAGGAGAGTTATAAATCTTACCGAGGGAAAACGTATAAGATAAATTTGTCTAGTTTTCATTTATTTATTTACTTAACATTAGTAAGATTGTAAACTGTTTCTGGTAAGATTTATTATGTTCAGGGGAAGGGAGAGGACACGGAGATGGTGGGGGGGGGAGATATAGCCGGGGCAGTTGTATAGTAATAAGTGAAACATGAATAAGAAATCATATCAAGGCGTAAGAGGCAGGTGGAAATCTTTCATAATAGCAGAAAATATAAGACCAAAAATTTAACATTAGTAAAATAAATTGTAATATTTTTAGCCAACTGAAATTAAATGAAAACGAGCCCATTTTTTTAGTGAATCAACATGTTTAATATCTTATCGTTAAATTACTTTGTCTTACAGTGATGTACTGTACGTGCGGCTACAATTGACTTAAAATCATACTCAGTGTACCACGACGCCGCCATACGGGTCCATCCACTGTATCGGCTGTGTTTGAGGACAACTCCATTAAGACGAATGTTATCCACAATGTTCAATTACTTATCTGGTAAAAAAAAATGTCAAGCGTTAAAAACTAATATTTCTTAGTGTGACAAAAATATTCTTGTTTTTTTTTTGGCGACAAGAAATTTCCTCCTTCAAGTAAGAAAGTAATTATAAACATCGAAATGTAAAAAATAAATAGAAAATAAAATAAATAAAATGAAAGAAGTAAAATAGAAAATAAAAAGTAAGAATTTTGTTTGGTCTCCTGTTGTGTTTCCGTAGAGAATAATTATACCGAATGATACAATTTATGATTTTTTTTTAGGTGTGTTGGTAACATCTGCAAGCCTTCTATCGGTGTCCAATCATTTAGTCCGTCTGTTTACCGTTGTAGTGATCCCTGTCTGACCAACACGGCGTAAATTGATGGCAGCAGGGACGGGTTTCTGCGTCTCTCAGAACACACAATGAGAGGTAAAAGGATGCTGCGTCGGAAAAGATGATTATTAGATTAATTTCCTTAACTCGATCACTTCTTGGCTGGTTGTTCACGTCATGAAGTCTTCCAGTTTCATTTGACTTAAAATTCGGACGTTATTTTCACACACACAGTTGGAGTCACTTGTCTATATTAAACATTCTGGTCAAGAAGCAGACGCGTTGTAGACTTAGTATACACAACAGTATCCTCGCTTGTTCGCATTTGTCTTTGAAGTTTCAGTTGCTCCATTAAGGCTCACGGTAGATGGTTGTGTTTGCTGAAAGTGTCTTTGTTCATAAGGCGCTGAACCACTTGTCTCCAGAAACAGCACCTGATATTTTCTCTTCTCCATGATGAGATATAGATCACTGTTGCCGCCTGTTATCATTTACCTTTAAAGTGAGGTAATATAAATTTTCATTATGGTATAAACATACAGTAACAGACGAAGACAATAAGAAGAGGTCGCTCACCGACCAGATGATCATCCAGCCACTGTGCGACGACATTAATTTCAACATAATATATCCAACAATTTTAATCAGTTAAGTCATTCATCACGGAAGAATACATGATAAAAAATTAATTACAATAAGAGAAAAAAGAAAAGTCACCTTAAGAGAAAACACGCAAGGTAAGTCTTCAGTTGTCTCAGGTGTAACTTCATATAATAACAAAATTCAATATTCAGTACGCTACGATAGATAAGCAGACACGAGAAACCTATACCTGGACAGCTGATGTCATGTAAGCAATGACAATCACCAAAAAACGTGAACATCTACACTCACTTGGTGGCGGGTGTTGGTGAGGCTCGAGCAGGTAACGCCTTAAACACATAATTACTGCCTGCAGGTGTAATGCATAATCATAAATTAAAACTAATACCTCAAAATTCCCAGTTAGAATGACGGCCTAATCCGTTATTCGTCTGACGGGAGGGAGGAAGCAATCTTTTACTTATGCTGGCGACGCCACTAGAGTGTAAAGGTTAAAGGAGAATAGACGAGACAAGAGAATTGAAAATTAGGGAGAAGGCAAGGCTGTGATCAACACTGTAATCCTCTTGCCTCCGCCGCTACGACACCCTCGCTAGTGCCAGCCAGCCACGCTGTTCTTGTAACTCGGGAGAGGATAGTCATAGAGGGGAAGAGGATAGTTGTAGGTGGGAAAGGTTAGTAGTAGAGAGGGAGAGGATAGTTGAAGAAATGAAGAGGATAGTCGTAGAGGGGGAGAGGATAGTCGTAGAGGGGAAGAGGATAGTCATGGAGGAGGAGAGGATAGTCTTGGAGGCGGAGAGGATAGTCATGGAGGAGAGAGAATAGTCATGGAAGGGAGAGGGAAAGGAGTGGGTTTACAGCTTACGGGTTGTCTTGTACCAGCAGAAGGGGACAGGTAATTCAGGTGTTGATTCTCATTAATGAATCTCAGGTAGGAGGGAGGACAGGTGCATCCAGGTGTTATTACCCATAAGTAATTATGTATGCATGTATGTATGTATGTATGTATGTATGTACACTTTGACCGCCTCTCTGACGTTATATCAGGGACTAGATGGTAGACGTGCCAGAGAGCTATGGTCCCTCGGTAAGTCGCCTGGTACAGTACATAAATACTCCCACGATTAGTTTCTTAGATGGTATGGCGGAGGTTTAGCGCCGCCCTTTAGCTTACCAGGAGCGCGACACTGTGTTAACTCCCATCGACCCCCTTGCTATATTTACCTGCATGACGTCACACCACCTTCAGTAGTAAACAAGAGGGTAGATGGAGGCCGAGGGTCACCACAGGACTGCTTCCCCAGCAGGAAGCTCAGGGTCACACGCCCAGGACACACCTACAGAAAATACCTTCATTATAATGATCATCGTCAGTGTTCTTACTAGAGGCTCTCGAGAAGAAATTATCTGGTGTGAGAGGATGGAGAGGAAGAGGTGAGTAAGTAGGTAGGTAGGTAGGTAGGTGAGGTAAATAAGTAGGGAGGTAGATAGGTAAGTGCGGTAAGGAAGGAATTCTTGTACAGCTGATCATAAAAGATAATTTAGTGAGTTATGAAACAGATCAACTAAGGTAAAGAAAAAAAAAGTGAAGAAAGAACAACAAAACCAAAGACAATAACAAGTAAGATTAAAACTGGGATGAATCAACCAACAGGGCTAAAAATAAAGACAGGGATAGTCACAACTGAAGCAAGGGCGCCTGAGATATAGGGCGAGGTAAAACTAAACGGGGTAAGTGTTGTTAAAACTGGGATATGGATCGGGAGGTATGACGGAGACGGAAGTATGTAGGGAAGAGGAGGAGGAGGAGGAGGAGAGAGAGAGGAAGAAGAAGAAGAAGAAGAAGAAGAAGAAGAGAAGGAGGAGGAGGATGAGGAAGAAAAACACTACAACAGAATTAGTAACAAGAAACTGAGGAAAACGAAAAAGAAGATTCCTAGGGATGAGGTAGAGGGATAATTATCAGATATGGCCAGCGTTATGTGTGGTCTGAGGTCTGCGAGTTTGTTGGCCAAGCTGGAATGGGCCATGGAAGAATTGGAGAGGGCCAAGGAAGAAATAGAGAGGGCCACGTTGGAGAACCTGAAATTAAAAGAAGAGATGGCGAGATTGAAGTGGGAGGCGGGACAGGGAAAGCCAGTGTCTGACGAAAATTCAAGCGTGTGGAAGGTTGTAAGGAGAGGGAAGACCAAACTGGTGATGAAGAAACACACCAAGGATACGTCAACAACGACATCAGCAGCTAAGTGTACCAACTCGTTCAGTCCCTTGATAGACGAATTGGACGTTCGTACAGTCAGGGACAGGGCTGACAGAGAAGGTATAAAAATTTAATTGTTGGTGACTCACAGGTAAGGTACTTGGAAAGGGCTTTTTGTGGTAAAAACATAAGTAGGATGAGAGTGTGTTTGCCAGGAGCTGGGGTGGGGGATATAATTGACAGGATGGACAATATCTTGTCTGGTAATGGGAACAAACCCATTATCTGCCTCAGTGCAGGAGGCAATGATATTGGCCGGTGTAGGAGCGAGGAGCTTCTTGATAAGTTCAAGGCAGCTATAGATCGTATTAGGACTAAGGGAGGGATCCCTATCATATGCCGTGTCCTGCCTAGAAGGAGAGTTGGCAGTGAATGGTTGTCAAGGGCAGTTGGTGTCAACGACCGTCTTGACAGATATTGCAAGTCAATATCAGTCCCATTCATTGACAACTGGGACAACTTCTATGGCAGAAGGGACCTTTATGCTAGGGATGGGGTGCACCTGTCTAGGGATGGAGTAGCAACCCTGGCTGGGGCTCTAGAGGGGGCAGTTCAAAAGATATCGAAGTCTTTAAACTGCTAGGAGAACATATGAGCACGGGGGTGGAGGAGACTGCAGTGGGAGCGGGTAAACAAAGTGAAAGATTACAGGGAAATAGTGTTAGGAATGATGACAAAACTAAATTAGACAGGGAGTTAAAAACTAAACTCGGTAAAGGGAGGACTCAGAACACGACTAACTTAAATGTATACTACGCGAACAGTAGAAGTATGAGAAACAAAATGGATGATATTAGGGCCTTGGTATGTACCGAAAAAATCGATATAATAGCATTCATTGAAACATGGATCAACCTAGACACACGTGAGTTACCGGTCGAATACCAAATTGCGTGTTACAAACTGTTCCATACCGATAGGCAGACCAGGAAAGGAGGCGGAGTAGCAATCTATGTTAGGGATAATCTGAAGTGTGAAATGAATAAGGAAATAAAAACTGAGGGGAATACAGAAACAATTTGGATAGAATTAATCGACGGTAGGGAAAAATTAATCACAGGAGTAATATATAGACCTCCCAATCTTGATAGAGTCAATGAGGGACTTATCTGGGATGAAATGCGCAGGGCTTCCATACACAACAAAGTCTGTATAGTAGGCGACTTTAACCTTGGCCAAATAGATTGGGCTGACCTTACAGGTAACTCAGAATCAGAGGATTTTCTCGAGACGATCCAGGACTGTTTTCTAAGTCAACATAAAACCGAACCCACCCGGGGTAATAATATACTCGATTTAGTTCTGTCAAACAGAGAAAACCTCATTAGCAATGTCGAGGTAGGGAACGAACTTGCAAACAGCAATCACAAAGAAATTAGATTCCAGTTAGATTTTCAGGGCAGACGTAAGGAAAATTCCACTAAAGTACCAGATTTCAGAAGGGCAAACTTTGACAGTTTAAAGAGGCAGCTGAGAGAGGGGGTGTCGCGCTTGGCGGTGAACCTAACAGATGACACCGACCTGATAACGAGATCTGAGATTGCCGAGTTCCACGACAATTCAAATAGTGAGTTACTTAATGCACAAAGGCAGAACATACCATACAAAAAACTCAGATCAGACAACAATGACCCTAAATGGATAAATAATTATTTAAAGAACGTCACTGGCCAAAGGAAGGCTATAGGTAGAAGGATAAATCGTGGCGAAATTCACCTCCGGGATTATTATAGGGTATTGGCGAGTAGGGTTAAAATCGAGATAAGGAAAGCCAAGAGAAATAATGAGGTAAGGATAGTAAGGGAGGCGAAGACAAACCCCAAAGGATTCTACCAAATGTATCAAACTAAAACACGAGAAAAGATTGGACCAATACTGTCAGACACTGGCGAGATCACTGATAACGACAGAGAAATGAACAATAATTTGAATAAATATTTTTCAACAGTTTTCACCACAGAAAATTTAAACATGATACCCGGGGCACCGACTTTGTTCAGAGATAGTGAAGAAAACAAATTAAGCGAGATAGTAGTGACTAGTAACGATGTTAGTAAGCAAATAGACAAACTAAAGCCTAATAAGTCACCTGGTCCCGATGAGATATATGCCAGAGTATTAAAGGAATGTAAGGAAGAGCTTAGTATGCCCTTAGCAAAGTTGTTTCACATGTCCTTAAAAACAAGTGTAGTACCAGAATCCTGGAGGATAGCGAATGTAATACCGATTTTCAAGAAGGGGGATAGATCACTATCCTCTAACTACCGCCCAATCAGTCTAACATCAATAGTAGGCAAATTACTGGAAGCAATCATTTCAAACTCTATTCGAAATCACCTGGAGAAGCACAGATTGATCAATGATTCCCAGCATGGCTTCACAAGCGGACGTTCATGTCTAACTAATCTATTAACATTCTTTTCATCAGTTTTCGAATCGGTGGACGAGTGGCACAATTATGATGTGGTATATCTCGACTTTAGCAAAGCCTTCTACAGAGTCCCCCACGAAAGACTAATTAGAAAAGTAGAAGCACATGGCATCAAAGGTAATATCCTTAAATGGATTAGGGCGTGGTTACAGGACAGGAAACAATAAGTGAGCATTAATGGCACTAAGTCCAATTGGAGCAACGTCACAAGTGGAGTTCCCCAAGGCTCAGTACTTGGACCATTATTATTTATTATATACATAAACGACATAGATATCGGCATAGACAGCAACATAAGCAAATTTCCTGATGACACTAAAATAGATCGTGTTATTAAATCTGACGAGGACTCCACAAAACTACAGGAAGATCTAAACAAATTTTTCGAATGGTCTGAAAAATGGCAGATGAAATTCAACGTGGACAAATGTAAAGTACTCAGTATAGGAGATGTAAACAGGGAAACCAGATACCAGATGAACAAAGATGCCATAGAGAAATCCGACTGCGAGAGAGATTTAGGAGTAATGATAAGTAGGAACCTTAAGCCAAGTAAACAATGTGTTTTTGCTCGTAACAAGGCTAATAAAGTACTTGGGTTCATACAAAGGAGTGTTAGTTACAAGACTAGCGAGGTCATCCTAAAACTGTATCTTGCTCTTGTGAGACCACACCTGGATTACTCAGTTCCGTCTGGTCACCGTATTACAGAATGGATATAGAATCCTTGGAAAGAATTCAGAGGAGAATGACAAGACTAATCCCGGGCATTAGGAACCTTGAGTATAGAGACAGGTTAAAGCATCTTAATTTGCACTCCCTCGAGAGAGGTAGAGCGAGGGGCGACCTCATAGAGGTGTATAAGTGGAAGGCAGGGCTAAACAAAGGGGACATTACAAAGGTACTCAAACTATCCAACCAGGAGCGAACTCGTAACAATGGTTTTAAATTAGACAAATTTAGATTTAGGCGTGAAATAGGTAAACACTGGTTTGGAAAAAGAGTAGTGGATGAATGGAACAGGTTACCAAATATCATCATTAACTCGAATACGCTGAATAGCTTCAAACATAGGTTGGATGCTTATATGAGTAATAGGGGTTGGGTGTAAACGGGACTGCCCAGTATGGGCCAATAGGCCCGCTGCAGTTTCCTCCATTCTTATGTTCTTATGAGTGATAGAGAATTTGAAAGTAAAGGATGTTGACTAAAGGGAATAACTACGATTGATAAAAGGAGGAATGAAGTACAGGTGCGACTAAAGGATGGTGGGGGAAGGAAGGGAAGAGGAGGGCCTGGTTGTGAGGGGTATTGGGAGGAATCCGGTGAGGAGGTCAAAGAGGCGGGAGAAGTCTGTATGTGTTAATGTGTGTGTGAGAGAGAGAGAGAGAGAGAGAGAGAGAGAGAGAGAGAGAGAGAGAGAGAGAGAGAGAGAGAGAGAGAGAGAGAGAGAGGCACACACAGTAGAGGACTATGATGGAGGGAGAGGAAGGGTAAGTCGTCGGTGAGGGGAAGGGGTGATGATGTCGGTGAAGGGGAAGAACCGGGAGCGGTAGTTTCAATATGAGTAAACTGGAGGAGCATGGTGGTGTCCATGGACTAGGGTGAGGCATGAAGGGGATCTGGAGGGAGGAAGGCGTGACAAAGTGAGAGGGCAAGTTAGTGTGAGAGGGGGAGGGGGAGGGGGAAATGGCAGGCAGTGGGTGCGTGTGATGTTTATGGTCCACAAATGGTGCCACAACT